AAAATATTAATATGTAGAAAAATGTGAATTTGTAGTTACCAGTAAGTTACTGAAAGCATACCTTATCCATTTTCTAAATGCAAAATTTCTTTTAAATCATTTTGTCTCTTAATGTTTAATTTAAGTTCTCTTTTGATAATGAGCTTAGAGCTGATCATTGCACAATTAACTACCTTCTGGGAAAGCATCAGCTGCTAGGTGCTAGTGCTGGGTCAGTTTGTGTTCCTGACATAAATGCTGTAAATATCTGAGGGAGATTTAGGGGGACAGTTGATGACTTCAGATATCCTAGAACCTTTGGTGCACTCGGAAGTCAAAAATTCCTGCAGTCGCAAATTTTTTAACACACTGCAGAAAAATTAGATCCCATCATAAGATCCATTGTTAGAAAATGCTTTTGCGGCATTGCTGCTCTCTGCTAGATTTTTTTGGATCTAGCATTATGACTTCTGCCTTGGAATAACTTTTTATTTTTTTTCTTAAGGTAGATATCCATGTATATCACTCCTGAGTGTCACATTTTGGATGACTTAATAGTACCAGAGAAAAAAATCTTCTAATTCCATTTTGAAGGACTGTATGTTTTATATACATATAAAACATTTCTCACTAATTTCCCATATTTTCAACAGTTAAAAAAATCTGTACAAATCCATTTACCATAATATTTTTCCCTTGCAATGTCATCCATTGTGTAGTCTGAGAGAACTAAGAAATGAATTGTCCTGCAAAGGGGTAGCTTGTTTTCTGTGCTCACTCTCACCGTGAATAATGGGATTCTTGGCGGAGGGGCGGGGGGAAGAAGCCACAAATCCAAGTGTTTCTGTGTAGCCCGCTAATATTGAATGCTGCTCAGGTAAGTCAGTGGTTTGAGATAGGTGGATCAAATTCTCTGCAGAGTCTAATCCAGGCACGTGCTGCCACTGTGTGTGTGTGTGTTCAAAACATACAGATGTTTGGAGAACAGCTTGTGGCAAATTCTTAAAAGAGGTGTGAATAGATTAGTAAAAATTTTTAAGGGTGAGTGGAATCATTTACCACCAGTCAAGTGATCTGGGACTTCCTTTAAAAGGTTACATTATTAAATGTTCTGCTTATGTAAAAATAAAGTACTGAAGATGCTATTTAAGAAACAAAATACGATGTGTTAACAAAGCCCTGATTAAATACCAAACATGGGAGATTTCTTCCCAAGGAGAGACCTGTGATGCTGGGAGACACCAAAGAGCTGCACAGCTCTGTGCTGTCCCTGGCCGTAACCAGTGGCAGAGAGGACAGCATCTACAGCAGGCAAGGACCTTGCCCAGGCATTTCCTCAGCTTTCACAACCACGACTTTCTGATTTAATCAGCAGTGGATCCACGCCTGTGAATTTGCCTAATCCCTTTTTGAATCCTTTCATTCTCCTGGCCCTCCAGAAGGTTGTCCCACCTTCCCTTCTCCAAGCTGCAGATAGCAAGTTCATGGACAACTCCTTTGAGCAGAGGCTGTTTTCTGCTCCTGACTGCCACCCTGTCTTTCTCTGAATCTCAGTGCTATGATTTTTGAGATGAGGATACTGAAACTATCAGCAACACTCAGACTTAGGCGCACAGTAGTAACTAGCAATAGATTGTTTCATTGGCTGTTCTTTTTCTAACTCTTAAAGTTCTATTTACTGTTCCACCAAGTTTATGTTTTTACAGAAGTAGGCACACTTGTTTCAAGATCTCTTGAGTGGTAATAACTAATGTAGGGCTCATCTCTGGTTAAGCTTAGGCAGGGTTATTTTTTCCCCATGTGCATCATCCTGCATTTCTTTTCATGAGATCTTGTCTGCCACTTCACTCAACCCACTCGGTACTGACAGCTTTACAGCTCTTCCACGCCTGGTTCAGATGTGACCGTTTTGAATGATAAAAATTCTCCATTATGGAAATTCACAGTTCATTTCTACCTTTGTTCCTCAGCTTTTACCTAATTAATCCCCTATGACAGTAGCTCCTTCTTATCCCTTCACAGTAAGTATTTTGCCACCAAAACCTCTTAAAAAGTTTTCTAACATATTCTAACGTGTTCATATTTTTGTGAACAACCTGCACATCAGATAAAATGCATCCCTTAGAAGCACTCATGCTTGTAAATAAATCCTTGAATAAATCCTCCCATCCCAAGGCAGCAGGGGGGACGATGGTGGCCAGGGTATTGTGGCTTAGGAGGAGACTCAGGCAGAGCTCCACTGGGCAGAGCAAGCAGAGACCAGAAACTCCTCGGGATATTACTGGGAGAGAAGGAGCCAGGACATAAACTTCTCCTCATATTATCTAGAAATGGACAGAAACCAGCTTCTGCTGACTGGCTGTGAGTTTCATTAGTAATTCACTGGATTTGCCCGTGAAACCCTCATATAGCATACCAGTGGTCTCCTTTGCAGAACCTGATAGAATCAGGTTCCTTCTGCAAAAGCTTTCCACACCCCGCTCTGCAGCAAGATCATATGACAACACATTGCACCAATACAACCTCAGAAGAGGAGCATTAAACCATCAAAAACTAAAGTGCAGTAGAAAAGGAACCTTGACAAACACGAGCTGTGTTCTGAAGGTCACCTCCTGCTGATCCTCTCATAGCATGGCAGAACTAAGGGAGTGCAGCGATACCAAACCATTTAGAGTAGATACCTTTATCAGGAAGGTAAAGGCCATTAGGCTTAAAAGGAAGAAAAAAGGAATACAATTTTTCTCCTTTTTCTCCCTCCCTTCCCTTTTCTCAGGATTTGGAGCAGAATCAGACTCTCATGGCTCTCCCACCTCCAGCTTTGATTTTAGTAGACATCTCAAACATGCAGACATCTGCTCTATTCATTTGTCAGGTGCAAGAAGTCCAACAAAAATTGTTCTGGAAAATTAATAGGATTTCCCAGCCACCACCCACCCCCCTCTGTACTGAAATGATGCCTTTACTTAATTGTTTAGGCTAGCACAAACCCCTTCTTTGTGGTTAGAAAGGGCAAGCGTGGGAATTTTGACTATGGCATCTCGGCCATCATACTTCCCCTTTTTTTTCCCCCCTACTAAATTTCTTGTTCTTTCATATGAGACAGTCTCATTTGCAGATCTCCACTGCTGTGTACTGCAGATATGGTAGTTTCAGACAGATCTTATATTACATACACGAGAAACAGGCACATTTTAGTCTTAGCTTAAATGATTCTTGGTGATGCTTTAAGAATTGATGTGAAAGGCTCTGTGTGAAGGTAAAATGTTTCACTGTGAAGTTACTCTTTTACTTGTTTACTTACTGATATCCCTGCATGGCAGTTATACATCTGCATTGCGGGCAAAATAAACACAAGTTTTGTACAAAGTGTGGCTATTCATATTTACTATATTTAAAAACATAGAAAGGTTTAGGTAATGTGGCGTAAATTAGGTGCTCATTTCCTAAGCAGCAAGACATTTCTGCAGTACACTAGTTGTGTTCGTATTACCAAAGCCATGATTTAATTTATATTCTTGCCTGAACTATAGTGGTAAAGAAGCATGCAGTTTGATTATGGCTTGCACTTCAGAGTACTCACTTATATTTTCAGTTCTCAGAAAATTATTTTTTAACACATTCAACAACACTTGTGTCTATCCTAGAAACAAAAGTCACTTTGAGGTATGCGTATTGTGACTTTGCATGAGATGTGCAATCTGTGTTTGTCACCATCACCTTCAGGGAATGTTTATCAGAGGGCTGAGAAATTTGTTCTGCAGTGATGGAGTATTCTGAACACATGTCCTGTTAGAGCACTGGCTTATATGACCATTGATAGCCTAGATATTTAAAAAAAAATACTTGATTAATCTTTCCTTTCACCTTTTCCAAGTTGTCTTTAGATATTAGAATTAAGGATATATTATTTAAAAGAAAAAAAATTAAAAAAAAAAGAAACACAACTGTTATTAAACACCAGTTGCGGGTGGATAATGAGGCTGAGCAGCTTTGTGCTAAGTTTGCCAAGACTGAAATGCGGGATCGGTGAGGGATATTCAGACACCATTATGATATTAATAGAATATATAGTCAAATGTAACTGTGATAAGTGTATTTATGAGTAGCAGAGAGAGAAAAACATTCTTTGGAGAGTCTAGATAGAGAGAAAAGAAGAGTCAGCTATAGAGTACACATGTAGCAAATTCATGTAAAAACTGGAGGAGAATAGGGAAGAAATACTAGGAGAACAATCAAGAGTAATTTTTAGAAAATTCATCAGGAAATGAGGGAAAAGGCAAAACAAGAGAATGGGTGGAGTACAGAGAAAGATGGGGAACCACAGAGAAGAGCAAAAGGAGAAGCAATGTTGATCTGTAATGTTTTGAGACTCTGTGTGTGCATGTCTATTTGATGTAGTAAACGTGTCTGTGCACTCATAATTAGCTGTAAATTCAGGCTGGCATGTATCTAATTAAAAGCTGCACATCTCAATAAATCTTCAGTATGATTTTTATTTATCAATTAACATATTTGAATGGAGGAGGAGAACAGTTTAGTGAACCCTGGGCATTTTCAGTAATAACATCTATTTGTATATAAAATAAATCATGTTTGTAGTGCCTCTGTTGCAAGATACAAATAAAGAAATTCTCCAAACTAGGAGGTGGGAGGCAATTTATGACTACTACTTATTGGGCAAATTTATCCCCTTCACTGTTTTAATGCCTTATTGTTCTCCTGATCTGTTTATTATCTCGTTACGTGCCAGGTTTGCAAACTAGCTGAACCATAAGCTGATTTTGGACTTCATATGTCTATGCCATATATATATGCACATCTGGATTCTGAAATTTTAGTGAAATCTGTATTGTGTTAATGGAAATGCCATTGTATAAGAATTTATATTCTTAAATGTTTATACATGAGCCATTTTTTTAATTCCTGTAGAACTTTCTTCCAAATGAACTAATTTTCTTCTGCTTGTGAACATCACCATTTGTTGCAGCGCATGTTAACTGTGGCTATTTTTCCTTGTCTAGCTGTACCCCATAAAATCGGGCGGATAATTGATGGAAGTCCTGCGGATCGCTGCGCAAAACTTAAAGTTGGAGACCGGATCTTAGCTGTGAATGGCCAGTCTATTATTAACATGCCTCATGCAGATATTGTGAAGCTAATTAAAGATGCAGGTCTCAGCGTAACTCTTCGCATCATTCCTCAGGAGGGTAAGTCAATGGCCCTTAAAAACAGGAAGAAAATTTTAAGTAGCCTCCAATTAGCTTGAATTATGTCACCACTTGAAGGAACACCTTTTGTTTCACTTCCTCAGCTGTATTGTACAGCAGACCACAATTACAGCCTTAGAACTAGCTGGAATAATATCTAAATTCTTGAAAAGGTTTCTAGTTATGAAAAGGGTATCTAAAGCAAATCTGGAGAAACCTGAGAGCGAGCTGAGTACCAGAGAGTCAGTGTTAATGTCTTTTGGAATAATTATCTTGTACACGGAAAAGCAGCCTACAAGAGAGCCAGGTTTTGAGTTTGTTCTTTTATATTCTGCTATAAACCAAACCAAAGTTTGACTCAGAAGAGACTGCCTGGTTGTCACCAGGCATCTTCACCTACCAGCCACCTGTGACAAAGTGATGTGAAGGAGGAGTTCAAATTTGGTAGTTTCCTCCACGTATAGCACTATAAATGCACAAGGCAGGAAAGAACTGAACCCTAAATTATCTCTCTCATTTGTAAGGTGAGGGTAAGGGGACAGACTCGTTATTCCGGTCATTACTCCACAGCTAATCAGCAGAGATCTTTTGATGTTTGCTTCATGGGTTTTGGGGTTGATTTCAGGGGGTTTTTTAGCTTAGTGATGTGTTTTAGTTTAGTGATGTGCTGTACTGGTATATGAATTATACTATATTAATGAGACTGTGACTTTATATCTCAGCAACAAATACTATTAGAGCTAGGAATGTCACACAGCAAGTAATGTAATTACTTAATGATCCATGCTCCAGTTAGACGACCTTCACCTTCTGCTGCTGCATCCAGCAACAGGACAAGGAAATAGTCTGACACGGGCCATGGACTGCAGCTGGGGGAAGTTACCTACTTTGTTAAATGAATTCAGTGAAGGGAAAACCACAAACGCACACAAGTTCAGAATTCTCACCAAAGAGCTGGTAATATAATCACTGGAGGTCAGTTTTGCAAACATCTACAAACAAGTGTGATGCTGCATGCAGTCCGTGCAGCTTATTTAGGCCTCCTGCTACCCAGATTAATTCATACTAGCAAATTGCTAATGATTCGGTGTTAGAGAGGGATACCTTAAATTAGAAAGAAAGCAGAGGCGCATCTGAGATGCAGTGCTACAAGATGTTCTTGGGTGGAGAGAAATTATATGTGTCCAAGTCATGGCTTCCCTGTGTGACTGTGTGACACTGGACACCTCATTTGCCTGCCGATATTAGCTTCCCAGCTTATAAAATTAGGAAAAAAATCTAATACCTCTATAATGTACTTTCAGGTGAAAAATACTATTTAAATGCAAAGCAGTTTTAGAAGCAGCTTATGATTTGACTAGTTCATCCATAGTTATGAGAGTAATGTAGAAATGAGGGACAATATTCCCAATCTTCGTCTCTGAAACGTTGTGATACAAAAGAGACTCACAGATGCAAAATGGGCAATTAAAGCTTTAAGCATAGTAATTACACAGACAAGTATTGCTTATGCCTGCATGAGGAGTGTTTTAAGTGCAAATATACAAGCTTTTTTGACAATTAAGCCTAAATTGAAAAGATTTTTAATAAAGTAGCCAAAATTTTAAAATCATTATGAGCATAAATTATGTAAGTACAGAGCTATTAGAAATGTGCTGTCATAGGGGACAAACCCACATGTTAAAAAATAAAATCATTCAAAAATCAAACTAAATTCAAATATAAAACTAGGCAAGACCTGGGTCATGCATAGTTATCTCTGTCAGGGATGCTCAGGCATATGCATGTCCATTCTGGACACTTTGAACCATGCCACACTGGCCTCACTCATGCTGTTGCAAGCAGAAATAAAAAAATATTATGCATACCTTTGCTGTTGATAATGCATGAACAATTACTTCTGCAGTGCTCTGTCCTCTTGTGGGTGGAGTCTCTCTCATTTACACTTCTTAACAGGTAAATGATGAGCAACATAACCATGCCAGTGTGTCAGGAGCAATATATTCGATATGAGGTCAGTGCCAAATGTATCTTCCCCCAAGTGCAGCAGGAAGCCTGAAAGAAGATTGGTATCTCTTGTTTGTAATAAGGCCACGAGGTCACATTTCCTACCCCAGCTTCTCTGTCTTTTTAAATTTTATATTGTTTGGAAAGAAAGATTCTGGTTTTCTGCAATGTTCCTATGTGAAACCCTGGTTATTTGGCACAATACAGTGAAATAAAACATCAGTTTAGCTGGTTAGTCAGAATTTATTGAGATTGGTTTTGCTGTTCACAGTCCAAAAAATTTTAAAAAGATAGGAAACTCTTGTTGAGCTCAAAGACAGCAGGAGCTAACACAAGCACATCAGTGTTTTACCTTTTGTTACAACAGTCTGTCATCCCATAACAGTGGTGAAAGCAATAAAATTGTTCATTCTCTCAAAATGAAAAGTTTTCAAATATCACTATTTCCAGGCTTTAAAAGAAAACATGAAGCACAGAGTCATTTGCCTTGTTCAGTTGGGTTTTAAATAATGGAGGTGTCAACCAGAGTTATAGAAGTGACCAAGGTTTCAGATCCCACAGACTATCAAAAGGAGCCCATTAGGTTCAGATGTCTTAAAATCTAATTATAACCCAAGAGAGTAAAAGCGACAAAGCATAAATTTTCAGAGGTAGCGTGTGACCAAAAATGATTATTGTCTACCTTTGCCCTTTATTAAATGTCACGCTGTGGCAGGTCTTTAATCTCCAGCTTCCCATTACGCAGAGCTGAACAGCCCGGCCTCGGCCCCCAGCTCGGAGAAGCAGAGCCCCATGGCCCAGCAGCACAGCCCCATGGCCCAGCAGAGTCCCCTGGCGCAGCAGAGCCCCGTCGCCCAGCACAGCCCCGTCGCCCAGCCACCGCCTCCACAGCCCCTCCAGCTGCAGGGACACGAAAACAGGTAAGAGCGGCTCCTCCAGCCTCTGCCTCCCGTGAGGACCACGGGACACCCTGGTGCTGGGTCTTCGTGCTGTTTCTAGCGGCTGTGAGCCATCACTTGTGGGTGATTGCCGTCGCAGAGCATCAATTGTGCATGCCAGGATGATCTCTAAGTCTTCTTCAGGTATGAAACACATTATTATGAGCAAAGGTCTAGCCAAACTTCCTCAAGCATCCATCAGGATCAGATGTTTGCCGAGGAACTAAACACTGAGTATTCATTGCTAATAATTTCATTGCTAACATACTTTCTTATAACACCACAACTTACAAAATATGGGTATATCAGTATCTGATCATGAGGTGAACTTCTTTTTTTCTTTTTTTTTTTTCATTATCTTACATGTCTTTTTTTTTTTCATCTATTGCAGTTCTGGAGTCAGGAAGATATTTTTACAACAGGTTTTATCTAGGGTGTATCATTTTCCAGCCAATTTCTCATGTGTAATTTATGTATATGCATTGATCAGTTTATCTGTGATGGAAATTAAATGGTCAAAATTAAATTTTGTGACCAGCTGTATTAAAAGCTGTATATATAAAAAGCATGCTCAGGCTGTGGGATGGTACAACTTTCTATGATCTCTAATCAACACTATTTAGTCTTTGGATTAATTGTTGGCATGCTAAATGAGGCTGATTACACTGACTGTCTTTATGCTAATCTTCAGTAACCAACATACCTCATCAAGACCCTCTTCCCCAAATAGTAGGTGCTGGTTAGAGAACTGTAACTTTTTGCCTTTGGAGGTATTTGAGTTCAGTCGTGATTTAGGCACTCCGCCCTCTAATTCTCCTTGCTTCACAGATGTAGCATTTTCACTTGCCCAAAATTATTTTCTCTCAACTAATCACACTTGGCAAATTTCTTTGCCTTATATTTCATTGAATACTTTTTCCAAAAGTGATTACCTCCTAGAAGACATATGTTTCTGACAAAATCCAATGCAAAGCTTTCACAAAAGTATCTCTGTGCCATTGTAAGCCAGTATTAAATGTCTGCTGAATTGGAAATTTTCAGAGGGGACCAGTAAACTATATTAATTAAAGTTCTAAAAAAAAAATTCTGAAATAGTTTTACCGAAAAGCATAAGCTATAATTGGTCGTGTCACAATTTACATATTCAGCAAAAACCACAGTGCCTCCAACTGTAAATAAAAGCATCATCTTCTGGGATACAGCTGTGGTTGTGTATTGGGAACCTGCCCAAGGATGACTCTTATTCCCGAAAAAGGTCCATTATTGCTAGTTCATATAGTATCATTTTTCACTAGATTTTAAAAGGCAGATTACAACTTGTTTATATAGCCACATGCATTGTTTCTGTTTCAAAATCAAAATACTATAAGATATATAAAACCCTTAGGAATGCTGACTAGTATTTTTACTTCCACTACTACTAAGGCTCAGCATCACAGTTAGCCTGTTTGTTCTCCATCTTCTTTTTACAGGATCGTGATACTGAGTAAAGAAAGAAAGAAGATTGTATGTATACATACAGGTCTTATTATAGATGCCAAGTGCAGGTTTTAAAAGAGCATATGGCAGTAGGCTATTTTCATCTTCTTAGAAAAGTCAAAGGGAAATAATTCTGATATTTTTGTGTCTGGATAGACATTTAGCTAATTAAAGCTAGTGTGTAGGGAGATTTGCCATAATGTTACTGTAACTGTACTAATAAAGTGATGAAGTTTTGAAACATATCTTGAAACATTTTGAAATGTTCAGATTATTTAGATTAACTTTTCAGAGATAAATTAACATAGGTTAAAACATGCTCTCATTCATTCAACATGTGGATTATTTTCTAGTGAGTATTGTGGGTGTTTTCACACGCAGTTTCATCTTCCAGGTAGGCAAGATAAGCGGGAATCAGAATGCTTTTCCTGCTCCTGTCCCTCTGAGCCTAACCCTGATCTCACTGATATGAGCTGGAAAATTGCACAGTATGACCTGAGGGGAAAATCCCTTACGTCCGTGTTTCAAAAGCGCTCACTGCTTTTAGATACCTTGACTATTTACAGTCGCAAGTTTTGCTTCTCTGTGAAAAATCATTTTATGCAATTTTGCAGTCAAGCAGTTTGCTTTCTCTCCTCAATACTGCACGTAACGCATAGCTTTAATGTTTTGCCGCTTTCTGAAACAAAGTCATTTTGCTTTTCTCAGCTATAGGTCAGAAGTAAAAGCCAGGCAGGATGTGAAACCTGATATCCGGCAACCTCCATTTACAGACTACAGGCAGTCCTCCACAGACTATCGACAGCCTCCGCTGGACTACAGGCATCCTCCGGTGATGGATTACCAGCAGCCACCCCCTCTCGACTACAGGCAGCCGCCCTTGATAGATTACAGGCAGCATTCGCCTGACACCAGGCAGTACCCTCTGTCGGAGTACAGGCAGCCCCAGGTACAAACTGAAATACGTAAAGCACTCCTAAACAGAAAGCATTGGGGTTTGTAGGGAGAGATCATGCATACTGGTAAAAAAGCTGACATTATAGAAGAGAAAGGCACCTTTCTTGTTGTTACTCCGAGTTACCTTTTCTCTGTAGAGAAAATTACTTCAGAACCATTAATATTAATGAAGAACTATGTGCTCTGTCAAATAACATTGCATTAATAATCGTGTGACTCTATCGTTAAAGAAGTGCTATTTTTAAGGTACTGGAAACTTAATATAAGAGGTCTGAAGTAAGCTGCACTTGCATCAGCAGAGAAGTTTTTTTATTCCTAGGGACATAATACAGTCATCAAACTTAGGTCAGATTTGCATTTCTACGGCACTGTTGAAAATGAAGATTTTATGTAATATGAATGAATAAATAAATAAATAATAATCCTGACTGATAAAATTACATTTCTGTTGGTAATAGTCTGGATGAGGAGAAAGGAGAAACTAGTTTGTGCAACTAGTTTCTTTGACATCAGGCATGACCTTACAAATTCCAAGAAACAAACCTTAGATGAACAGTTACCTTGGACAAGAGTCTGCTGATGACAACTATTTACTGACAGCTATGAAAATTCTAGGATTTACCCCAAAGTTCAGACTTTCAAAAAAGATCCGCCTTTCACCTTACATAAAGGCAGAAAAAAAACAGAGCTCAGAAAAATATTAAATAAGAGAATGTAAATTTCTGGACACTGTGTGCTGGAACCATATATTGATGGTTTCTATGTCCATATTTTCAAAGTCAGACACAAAACACATATCAATGGAAATATCCAAATTCTTAAACAGGGTCCAGAGAACCCTCTGAAAATTGTATGCGTGTCAGTATCTACATAGCAAATCGCTATCCCCGTGCACATATCCTACAAGCCACTTCTTAGCATCTAGACTGCCTGTTTCACACCACCTCCAGTTTAATTCTCTAGCCACTGGTCTGCACAACCCAAGCTTGCTCTTGTTTTTCTCCTACTCCCATGGCTTTTGCACTCCTGGCTGCCAATGGATCAGAAGCAACAGAGCAAGTTCCCACCCAGACCCCTCTATGGTGCTGGTAGTTAGGGTCCACCAAGGAAAAGCTGGAAAGATGAATCTCAGTCTCTGCAGGACATGGAAAGGGTGAAACTCAAATCTACTTCCCACCTTCTCCTCAAGCACGTTTTAAACAAAGTGGTGAGAGTTGCTGTACTTCATAACTCCATGCAGTCCAGCCATGTCAAGTTCTGCTGGAAATTTAGGAGGCGTCTCTCCCACTCATTTTCAGTTCTGATGGTGCTTACACAGGAACTGCCTGCTACCTCACTTGCCAAACCAGCATTTCTTGCACAGATGCGAACGCTTACACTTTGATACCATGAAAGTATGGAAACCATCTAGAGAGCTTTTGGTACCAGGCAACTGCTGGATGATGCCCTTTCAGGGTGGTTTAGACTTAGGCGTTTACGTTTGGCTAATGTCTCTTTTCAGAAATGGCAAAAATCTGTCAGTGCAGAAGACCTTTGAAGGTCACTTTGCTTGTATCAATTGGATAGGTGCACGTTTGAAGAGGTGTATTTTAGTTTTCTTGAGTGTATACCATGACATTCATATGGTTAATTGTCTTTCATTTTATATTTATCTATACAGGACTTTGATTATTTCACTGTTGATTTGGAGAAAGGAGCCAAAGGTTTTGGGTTTAGCATTCGAGGAGGAAGGGAGTACAAAATGGATTTGTATGTGTTGCGGTTAGCAGAAGATGGACCAGCAATAAGAAATGGAAGGATGAGGGTAAGTAAAATGCATTGTAACATTTTTTTTTCAGCCTTTACAAATATGTTTGCTGATGGGATCAAAGAGAAAGTGTTTTTTTCATCTCTGATCAGATTTTAAAGAACCAATGCCAAACACCTCTAATATTATAAACTTGTCCTGGAAGAGTTGAAGAAATTACTTGAAACTTATATTAGGTCTGTGTAGTTTCTTTGTGGAATAAATGTATTACTTCTTGTTGATAGTAGCTGTTACTGTTTTGTACATTTTTCTCCTTATTCTTTTACTCATGTTTAAGCAACTCAAAAATCTCTGACAAAGAGTTTGGTATTACTTTGATAATAATATCAGGAAAATTAACAGTTACGTCTCTGATCACAAAAGCAAAGCGATAGCTATATGACACTTTTTGGAAAGCTATAAAACCTAAGACCTGGTCTGTGTTATTTTACTAATTTAATCAAGTTGTCTACATAGTGTTTGTTAAGTTTGTTTATTGACATTATTCAATCTTGTTTATAGGGATTGGTTTTCACTATTTGTCTGCATAGGCCTTAGTGTATTTGATTCCTGTATTGGTAGAAATCACAATAACACTACATCCAAATACTAAATCTAAAAGCATTCACTTAAGAAATTCCATGATTAAAAAAACTACTACGTGTATTGTGTAGGAATAATAACCTAATCAAAAATATATGTTTTTAATCTGTCTAGTTGTAGTAAAATCAACATAAAAAATTTGTTTATACATCTAATTAGTGCAGTCTTGTTGAACCAATATTTAATTATAAAGATGGGCAATGGAAATTGTGTTCTGTATGGTAGTAATGGCAGGTTTTGCAAATGTCATGGTTGTTACACAGATTCTGTTTCGCGATACTAACAATCTCTTCAAGTTTGACATCATGCTGAAAGAGTATTGTCATTGGTCTACATATACAATCAGAGACTTTCCGTATGTAACTCGGGAGTTTTAGTATGCTTCAAATCACTCTTAATTTGCCCACTTTGTAGAATTTTAGAAGTCAGTTAGTCCTCAGTCACACCATGGGGTGCAAACCCCCGGCACTGGGAGGTTGCATAAGGGAGCAGCGGCACAAGCAGTCCCTGTGACAAGGAAGCCAGGCAGGCAGCTGGTAACTGAGAACTACTCCCACAATATTTGTTGTGTGAAATATAGGTGAATTACTTCTGCAGCTAGAACTGTAACTCAAGAATATCTTCTCTGGTGAGTATTTTCATTCTTTCCTTCACTTGTAGCACTACCACAGCAAGATGTACATTATCAGCCATAACGTGATTAAAGATGAGGAAAAAGTTGCGCTTTTAATAAGCTCTGGAGTCATATATTTGGAAACATATGGCTAAGATTATAGAACAACAGAAGAACAATGCCTTTAGAGAGGGTTCATTTCAAATAATAACCTATATTAGGCAAAAAACCAACCTATTAAAATGTGTGCATCATTTGAATGGTCTGACTATCCACTCTGTTAATAGCCTAAGTATACCAAGTGTGTAACACAAGTACACTGCGTTTTTCAATTTCATTAGGAAAAAAGTCCTGTATCTTATAATGAAAAATGTTAATATATTTTCTAAAATAACTTATCTTAAAGCTGTTTTGTTGATATGGCCACAATACACAGCCAAGTGTTATTCTGGCAGATAGTTGTAACTGGGTTTTTTCTCCCCTTTAAAAGTGTCGTTCTTTGGAATCAGTTTTGCCCTCCAGTCTTGTCAGAGTCTTGTGTTGTAGTCTCCTGTTTAACAGCCGTTTTAACCTGACAGTCACAAATGGGTTTGGAACTTGCAATACTTTTATCTCCAGTGACCTGTAACTGATGGACAGCAGAAGCTCCAGAAACAGCTTTTTCAAAACAAAAATAGAAAAACAAAACAAACAAAAAAATTGCTGAAAGGAATAGAGTATATAGGAAGATGAGCAAAGAAAGCAGATTCTGCACCTGTATCTCCTTTCCTAAGTTTACATCTGCTGTCAATAATGCAGGATCATTCCCATTTCTTGCCTGGGACCACCAGCCTGCTTGCTGCAGTTGTGTATCTCTCTGTTTCACAGATGCACCTCTATAGCAAAATATGCAAAAATCTGTTTAGTAGCGCTTCTCGCTTCACATACCATGGTCTTTAAAGATCAGATTCTGTGATCCTAGGCTTTCAGAACTGGGCATAGTAAACCATGCTTATGTGGTAGGATCTTTATCGGGAGCATTTTCCAGCTAATAGTTCTTCTCATGATCTACTTATCCATGATTGTTTTGCTTCCTATTTCCTCCTCCTTGAATAGCCTTCTTTGATTTAACTGAAGCCTTACAGAACATGAAGCAGCTAACACAAGGCACAGATCATACTTATAGAAAGAAATAATGCATGTAACTAGCCTATTCCTACTCACCAAACCAAGAAAAGAAAAATTAAATCAGCTAAGCTGTTGAAAAAAATGGGTGTAATAAATAAATGTATTCCACAGATAACATCTTGTTGTCAGTCTAGTTATAGCTAGCAAAAGCTCTGATAAAAGCCCCACATTCATATTGATATAAACCTCCCTCTTTTACAGAAATAAATAAAAGAATATAAAGTACTTTAAAGTAACAGAACTACATCTATACTAGTGGGTTTATAATTTTGTATAACTGAAGGAATGCAACCTCTAACCGAAGACAGCTCCAGACAGGCAAGTCAAAGTCTGCATGTTGTACGCTATTAGTGGGCACTGCAAAACCTTAGTGATGGGACAAGCCCAGCAGCTGTATTCCACCTGGACACATGCTAAAAACTGTGACAGTCTATCAGCACACATTCAAAAGATTCTGAGGTCTAAATAGATGCAAAAGTTAATTCTGAAAAGCCTACCACAGCAAAGGTTTACAGAACTTGAAACATGTGACTCGAAATACTTACAGTAAACTAAATGAGATTTCATGAAGAGCAAGATATCATACAAATTAGAAGTAATGATGAAGCACATTCATTTTATAGTCTAAGAAATAGACTATTAGAGAAAAAGTGGCTATCCAAAACTTTAAATGGCAGGTAGACTTGCTGAGACCTCTGAGTTCTAAAAATATATCTCCATTCTCCTTTCTTCTTCAGGATGAGGGAATACTAGGAATATAAGACTCTGTCACTCATGCCACACCATGGCAAAAAAGAAGTGAATAGGACCATGTCTGTGCTCTGCAACACAAGGATGTATTAAAAAAATCCAGAAAAAAATTGGAGAATTATTAATGCCTTTGATATCTTATATCCAGAACTAGCAGAGGTCTGAGCACATCAGGACTCCATTTCTCATGTAATCCTAACATAAGGAAAAAAATTTGAAACTAGTTGGTGTTGGCAATATTGGAAAATAAAACCACAAGGCCTGGTCTCACAGTAGGGCCAGAGTATTGCACACACGCTGTCGGTGATAGTAGTATTGAGTTGAATCAGTCACCAGAGATGAGGGTCACAACACAACCAATGTGGAGCACAGTCCCCACAGCCTCTGAAGATTCAAATGCTACTGGAGACAATTTTACAGGTCTATTTAGATAAGGCTCACGATAACTCATATTTCTCTTCTTGTCTTGCATTGAGGACAATGATCGGCAGAGCTCTGCTTGCAGATCTCTATCCCTTCCTGCCTTAGAGACAGGCAACTACAGACTGCTCTCAGGAGAATTGTTAAGGATGGTCGTAGTGGTTTCTAGACGTGTGAGATATGATCAACAGATCTCTTATTGCCTTGAATGATATCTCCTGCAGCCAGCATGCTTATTGAAACCAGCATCAAACAAAGAGCCTGTGGCTGAGGGCTGCAAAGATACAGAGTATCTTGCACAAATGGGCTTAGTGAATGCAAAATTCATGAAGAACAAGGCCGAAATGTGCTTTTTTATACACAATGTGCACCTGTGTCATTTTGTCACTTTGTGAGTTACATCCTTTTTCATATCTTCCATGAAAGTCATACTTCTCAGCTCTGACATTTCTAGTTTCATTGTCTTGTCAACTCATTTTTCTCAGTCCATGTACACCAGTTAGCCCTATCTCTAGCTTCCTATATCTCCTAATACTACATTATTTTTCTCATTCTTTTGTAGATTTTTCTTCTATATTTGCAGAACAGACATCTGATATACAGGCACTGCAGAATTTTATACTTTCATGGCTTGCAGTCCTCCTTTGACTCTTCAATATTTTTTCCTGTTTGTTGTTTTTCCTGCGGTCTGTGCCCCTCTGTTTCAGTTGTGCACAGTTGGAGATAAAAATAGGCACAAGGGTCAGGAAGCTCCGACAGCGTCAATTATGAGCTTCTGTGTTGTTGCATAGAATTCTGCGTGGCCTTGCTTGGTCTGTTCTAGCTTGCTGTGAACCTTTCCCATGATAACAGAGATCACACCAACCTTATTTGTGGTTATTTGGGAAACTTCCTCCACCTACACCAAGAATTATTCCTAGCAAAAAGGAATAATTTAGTATTCAAGAGCCAAGGGTCAAAAAAGGCAGGTAGACGAGGGAGCCTGTCCCTTATTTGGAAGGAAACAGAACTAAAGTTTCAAATCATGGAAGGCATAAGCATTATATTTGAAACTGCTGTCAAAACCCATGTATGAGCATTCGACAGCATTCAAAACTGACATTTCCCTCTTTGTAAGTGTCCTAAATACAAGGTCAGGCAACTTCTGTTTTTTTCCTTCTGACAACATGACTTGTGCAAAAAAAATTGTGTTTGCAATAAGAGGGACAGAGCACCTATGAAAATCATAACCTGATTCTAAAGCCCTCTCTTGAGCCGAAGGAGACATAATTTTAGGTCCCCTTTGAAAAGCCTAGAGGTCAGGCTTCTAAGCAGTAGGGTGTCATGTAATAGTTGACTACCGCTAACTATGTCTCCGAGAAGCAATGAATTAGGATCAAGGTACTCTTCAGTCTTCTCCAAGGAGTAGGCAGTATGTAGGCAGCTATCCATCTGGGCTCTGTAAACACTGTATAACAGTGGAGTT